TACCACCCTCAGTACCTCTGTGCTGGACTTAACATAGAATAAGAATTAAAGAGCTCTGGCCATTACATCCTGCATAGTAGAGGGGTGTGCTTGCTTTACTTGTATCTTCAGTTGTGGATTGTCCAAGGCATTTATAAACTAATCCCTCAGCAACAACTTGAAGAGATCGGGTGGTGCAGTTGGGTAGGCCTTGTGTGCCATACTTTCTAAATCCTGTGCCAGCTCTTGCAGGCTCTCCCCTTTAGCACGAACTCTCGTCCTAAACCTATCCCTATATACTTCGGACTGATTTTGAGTTCTAGAGCAGCTACCAGTGCTCTATAGTTGTGCCTGTCGTCTGCTGACAACTGTCCAAGTATTTCCAGTGGTTGTCTCTTCAGGCTCGTTGCCAGCTACACTGCCTTCTGCTCCTCTGTCCATCCATACATTTCTGCCAGGAGCTCAAATTGTGCTCTATATGCTTACCATCGAATTCCTGTGGCTCCCTTCTTATTAGATCACCCCTATTGCTGAAACTCATGTCTGGGATGTGACTTCTGACAGGACTGAAGATGTTTGCATTAGAGTTTAGCTGCAGGGTCTGGAAGGGGCTTCCCATTGTCTGGGGCTGATTATATCGATGGCTAATATATCTTCCTTGTGTAAAAGACAGTAAATCATCCTTTAATGTATTTAATTCACTTTGAAATTTACTAATCTTTTCCATTTGTGTGTGCTGGCTTTCTCTCAACTGTTGGAGACTTTCTTCTTGTTCATTTTATTTCTCCTCCAACCACTGCTGTAGTCTCTCTTGTTTATTTTGCTGTTCGAGCTGCCACTGCTGTTGTCTCTCTTCTTGTTTCTTTCCTCGTTCTTCTTGTTTCTTTTGCCGTTCTTGTATTGCTGACATCAAATCTGCTAAGCTGTAGTTTGATTTGCCACTTCTCGTTTCCATCTTCTTTTCTTTTTGCCCCACTCTCTGACATCAATTTGTTACGTATCTACTTGTTTCATAATTTCCCGTAAAAATTCTTTCCGAGAAACTTCCGCGATACAAGTCCTTTCTTAAATAAAACTAGTTTATTCTTTCGCAATACAACTTTGCAATACACAGAATTTTTACAGTCACTTTAACTTAAACACACGCTATAATTCACAACGATTCACGCACTTTACTTACGGTCACTACCGCTAGCTTGACTCAATTATCTGTATATCTGCAGTTCTTGTCTCCGCTTTATTTGCCAAGCTTATATACAAAATAAAAAATAGAGGGCGCCTGGGAAAGACTAGAGTTGCCAGGAACAGTCATGATCCTTCTAGAAACTCCATCGCGCATGCTTACAGCATCACATGACTTCCACTGTCGTAACAATACATTAGGACAAGGATGTAATTTAACATTTATGAAGTAAAAGTTTTACTAATTTGTAACATACGAGTAAAATGTCATTGGTTTGTAGCTGGAATTATAATCTAAATGAACTAAAAATATTAAACAGTTTAATTCAGCTTGGTTCCAAGATAAATCATGTGAAATACTGATTGAGGCTTCAAGTACTGATTTCTTCTTTCTTTAATGGAAACTGCATATCATCAAGGTACAGAATGTTTATTTGACATGTAGATTGTCCTTTATAAATCCATTTTACCAACTAATCCACCTGCCACCCATGACCTTAAAGAAGACAAAAACAGCTTGCATTTATAGGACTACCAATAGTCCTTTAGAAAGTGTTGATTATCAGTGGTGCTGCAGAGAAAAAAAAGACGTATCAATTCCTGAGTTTGTACAGCTTCATAGATATTTACTTAATTTTCATCAGTAGGCCTACACACCCATCAGATCTCTTGCAGTGAACATCTTAGTAAAAGAGAAGATACAGATGTAATTATACGTGAGATATCTTCAGATTACATTCTCTGAAGGCAAATTGTTAATCAAAGGATTGTGGTTAGATACTCTACTCTTTATCACTCAAGAGGTGTAAACTGGTCCTTTTATTTGTAATTGTGCATACAGCTTTGTCTAAGTAGTCTATATTTATGAAACCCTCTGTAGTTCCAGTTCATTGTGTTGATTTAGCATATTATTTTACTGTTGACTTCTCTCTATGAAGTATGAGTTTTATTAGCCATTGCTTCTCTATAGAATATGTATATATTTTTTTACTCACATAAAATCAAGCGCTCTTTTTTTCCATCGTGAACCAGATTGAAATAACTGTAGAAAATTAAAGGCAGAAAAGCTCCCATTTCTTTTAAATTTGAAAACTATAAGAAAGCCGTTGATAGTTCTATTGGTAAACTGTTCACTGAGTTACCTCAGTAGACATATCATTTGAGGAGAAAGGATGATTGTATGTGATACATACACATTCTATGTATGAAAATATTTAAAATAAAAAATTACGGTCTATAACAGTTCCAGTTGGTTTACAAATGAATTTAATTATTACGTCATTCTCCCATGTTTACCTATGAAAAGTGTAAAATCAGGAGTAACTAACTAGTTTCACATACAGAGACAAAAACCAAAATTCCATAATACTTGATAACTCCGACAAGTTAACAGTTCTACCAAGATACCTTACTCTTTTGAGACATACAAAAACATTTCTACTCAGAATCACGATATGAAGACGCATTCCTTAATTTGTATGAACCTGATTAAATGCTACAATTATATGATCGTATAGCATCGTTACCTAGCAACAACCAATCCTCTCATAGAAAAAGTGTAGGCATAGCCTCCAATCCTCTGGACAGAAGTGTTAAAAGTTTGATCAGCTTTAATAAAAGATATGTAACAGATTATGGGTGACAATATTCAAAAATTATGCCATTCAAATAAGTTTAGAATTTAGGGAATTTGATATAATGTTCATACAGGTAACAACAGGCCAGCCATTTCCCATCTATTTATTATATTTAACATGTGGAAAGTTTCATTTTTAAGAAAGTGGCATTTTGGATAGGCCTGTAGCAACTCAAAATTGTTTGTCTTTGAAAATTTGTTTTATCGGTCCCCCGGTGGTTCAGCGGTAAGTCTACGGACTTGCAACGCTAAATTCCAAACAAACCGTGTTATCATTTGTAAAATATTCGCAACTAGATCTACAAGTCCCCAATAATAGCAAATGGAACCTTTGAATTAGGAAAATGTGCCTGTGGATTTCAGAATATGCCTCGTGATAATGCAAGCTTCGTGCTCGAGAGACCGGTTAAACCGTAGTCGTAAGGTTTCACGAGAATCACAAATATATCAAATTGTTACAAATCTAGCATATACAATAAAATCGTGAAATTTCCATCACTAAAGGAAGTTTGAAAACATTCAGCAAACATTAAACTTGGTTTTATTTTACTACTTAATAAACTGTTAATTTTGACCTAATAATTGTCATAGAACATTCTTGACAGTTCGGCCTCCAAATATGAAAAAGCCTTTATGAATATATTATAATGTATATTCATTAGCCACATGGTCTCTTCTGCCAGAGCAAACGTAATGACAACCAAATGGCAGACCGTCGAAAGCGAAGATAACCATACATTTTGGTCCGAATTGGGTAACTTAATCAACATCTGTACACCTTTCACAAAATGAGCCTGTATCTATACATATTGGTTTTCTAGCTACACTCCTAGTTTTATGCTGCTACATTACATTACGACTGATATTGATACACTGTATCAGCTATAGTTGTTATAATTACGAATGTTATGTAGCTTATATTGAATGTGTTGAGAGTAGAAATGCTCTAGAAATCTTTATATCTCGGTTGTTTTATATAGGCTTGTGTTTCATATAGAAATATTTCAGTTGTAAGAGGTTTTTAGTATTGTTAATCAATAACGACGAGACTTCTTATAAAACTAATATCTTGGTACTTATAAACAGCTTTGTGTTTCATATAGAAATATTTTAGTTACAAGATGTTTTTACTTACAATTGTTATTTGGCGACGACAAGACTTCTCATAAAAGCATTACTATCTTTCATCTGTAGTAAGGCTTGTAGGTTTCTTCCAAGTACGATTTTTTTCGGTTACGAGCAACTTACAACGATGTCTCAAAACTGCTGAATGAAAAGGCATTTTTCATTGTTGCCTGAGTAACTGGACCTGACCTGAAGTTTCTTTAAGGGGAACTTCGAAGCAAGAAACTGGTTTGTACTGTATATATATATATTGAAACTAGACATATATTAAGAGTTTTATAAAGAGCATGTCTTTTATTGCAGTGGACAGTTTGATGGTTTAAACTCAACCATTCCAATGATTATTAAACAGAACATCTTCCATCTGTAGCAATGATTAAGATTTTTTTTAAGTAAGCATCTCTTTCAAGTATGATTTTTTATCTGTTACTGAAAACTTATCGTGATGTTTAAAAACTCCACAATAGCATGTCTGAATGATCTTATAACAATGTCTCAAAACTCCTCAACATCAGGACTGAACGACTTACAGCGATGTTTCAAAATTCATCAACATCAGGACTGAACGAACTTACAACGATGTTTCAAAACTCATTAACATCGAGGCTGAGCGAAATAGCACTTCTTATTATATACGTAATAATGTCTTATCAAAGCTGAACGAAAATGTATTTATTGCTACATTTGTAAAATGAGCCGAATATTCGTTTTTTTTTCTAACAAAAACCTTGAAGATGTTGATAGTACGTGTGTGCAAGTCTCTTTTTTTGACACGCGAGTAATTAGAGAAAACTATAATTAATCATGCAATTAAAACAGTTGTATATTTAATTACCGACGCTTTAAGGTAAGATAAGTGATGCAAATCCAGTAAATCAGTTTTAATCCTTTTATTTCAGTTTAAAACACCTAAAAAGGATTTTTTAGCTGTTATAACCCTTAATTTTTAGCATTGTAGAAATTAGTTTTGTATTATTTTTTATTCTCAGGGAAAAAAATGCAACAACTGACTGTAAAATTAATAACTTTATTGATTCATAATAACAGTGTTCGATAGAAAAACAAGGTCAAAACAGCAAAAATTGTATAAAAGAGCATTATTACACATTAAGTAAATACTGCTTTTTACGTTCATTTCTCCAAATGAATACACTAATATGCTAATCCTACTCAACTTTGTTGCACTGCACTTCTGTACATACAGGTTTGAAATTTCGAAAAACGTTTGAGAATTTCTAAGAAACATCGTAATCTTTAGTTATGTTATAATTTCTACAACATGACGCCTTTTCATAGTGTAAAATATGAAGAACTTTTTTTGCAAATTATTACTAAGTGCCTCGTACGTTGACCTTTTTAAAATGATAATAAATAAAAATTCTAAAGTCAGCACGACAACAAATATTTTTTTGCAAATCACAAAGTAATATATTACCTATTGTAAAGATGTTTCGTCCATTACATAAACCACACAACAAAACTGTTTCATAATATCGTTATCATTTATAGTACTGAAGACAGAGAGGCTCTTAGTTGATAAAATAATACCATTCTCTGTGCCAGTTCTGTTCACATATTTCGAAGATATATTATACATATAATCTCATTTGACTTTACTTATTGGTGTTAAGTATGTTTACAAGTTACAGCTTTTATAAGTAGGAAGACTTATTTAAAAGCCCCCTCCCCCACAGTGGCAAAGCGGTACGTCTGCGAGCTTACAATTCAAGAAACCGGGTTTTAATACCCGTGGTGGGCAGAGCACAGATAGCCCATTGTTTAGAGTATTTAAAAGGTACGACGTTTTTATTGCTGGTGCGGTCATTCTCCAGAAGTCTGGTTTTAACGGTAAATAGGTTTTTTTGTAGTTAACTCAGTGATATACCGACGTATTTAAATTAGAGAATCGAGAGTGCGTGGATTGAGGGTTTATTTATTTTCAGAAGTGAAAGTATCGACGAAGAAGTTAACACTAACTAACATAAACCAATTCTCTATCACAGCATTTACATAAGCTATTAATGAATTTTATAAAACACAGACAATACATGTTTAACAAACATATAAGCCCAGAAAACATCCCACAAAGAGAGATCTGAGCGTCGTGTTTATTTATATATGAAAATGTTCATTAGTGTAAAAGCTCTAACTGGTAAATGTATATATGTATGTTCGTGCACCTACATGATACTTCACTAGAGCGAAAGGGGTGTATCTCTTTGTTGTTGTTTTTTTAATGCATGTATTCTCCGAGATCCTGAGTGGGTTCTGCCATCTTTCCTATTTGTTTTTCTTCTGTATATACAGTAAAAGCTTACATATACGGTATCTTCGCATCCGGAAAGCTCTTGTAATCGGAAATATCAATATCTCCAAATACAAATGCTTATTGTAGAAACCGGCATTCAGCACAATTCCATCCGGAATGTCTCGGAACGCTCTCGAAGCTCATCGAAAGTTCACGACTCTACTTAACCGACGCTACCGCTTAGTGGCGCTGCTGTGGTTTTGTTCATATTCTTTCCCGCCAGCAAGCTTCAGTTGTTAGCCGCCTGAACTGAGATTCGCAATGTGTTTACGTTATCTGTATATATTTTCTACATCCAAAAGTTAAGTTTCTTTACAAAATGTGTTATTGTTTAAAACTGTTATCATTATAAAGATATAGAAATACTCTATTTTAGAACATTAACAAGGTGTCAAAGTTTTTCCTCTGAAATATCGCAAGGGAAACGCTTTCGTAGGGAGAATTTTCGCGTATCCTGCGTTGCTGAAATCCAGCATATACCGGATAGTAAAACCTTTACTGTATATATACGTGATTTACTATATTTGCCTAGGCATATAGACAGATATACTACATAATTTCAATCTCCACTTTTTACTGGACTTTTTGTAATAGAACAAAATGTTCCGGTATACATAGAGAGTAAGTACACTAGGATAAATTATTGTGCTATCTCGATAAATTAGAATTGGGAGGAAACCTATTTGTGGGCATTCTACCAACACCACGGAGACAATCATGCTGTTATAATAACATAGTCAAGAGTTACAAGCAAGTTTGACCATTGATAATCTCAACATTTTGAGTAGTGAATATAATGTTTCTTTACAGTTGCGTTTCCGTTTCGTCTTTAATGAATATCAGTTTGTTCCTTATTAGATTTTTTTCTATATTTGCCACGAGGAATGCGCATGGCAGGAAGAGTAAAGTTTTGTAGTATTTAATAAATAAAGAGCAAAAGTTGACCTTTTTTTAAATAGAATTGTACAACGAAATTTCGCGAACTAGCTTCAGCCGAGTAACTCATTTTAAAACAGACCTGACCACTACATATGAATTTAAAAGTCAACTTACAAAGAAAAAGACGGGCGTTTATCTTTGACCACAACTTTGGGAGAAGTTTTACCAAACATAGCCCCAAACATTTTGGACATACTTACAATACTGAGCTTTCTTTGGCGAGGTAAAGAACGTTGAAGATGCAATGTCCTTGCCTCGCGAATTAAGTTCTGGAAAGCGGTAGAAACTTCAACAAAAGAATCGGCAGCTGATACTTCATAAAATTTGCAGCCATATTGACTGGCAAGTTCACTGCCATCTTCATAAGACACCTGTCGACAGTGCTCCAAGTCTTTTTTGTTTCCTACTAACACAATTGGGACGTAACCTGGCGCCCTCAAGCGGTGAACCAAATCGAGACTATCGTGGGCCTTGTTAAAACTGTCTCGATCACAAATGCTGTAGATCACCAAGCAGGCGTCAGCCCAACGTACCTCCTCTTCTGGCATAGAATCATTCTAAGAAACAATGACATGTTTAATTAAATAAACATGGAGGTATAAAATATTATTGTTAACTTAAACTTTTACAAAACGTTGAAGTAATAAAAAGTCAACTGGAAATTAGAGTAAAAGTATAACATTGACATAGATAATAAATTTTGCGTATTTTTCTTAAATTTCTGATATTATATTACAAGTTTCCAAGAAGTTAGTACTTGAAACACGCAAAAAAAAAGTTACCTTTATATTTAAAATCTGAGACGATAAACAAAATCTATTTTGGTATGGTTTAATTAAGCCATGCTGTAACCACTCTTTCAACACTATCCTGGAGTACCAAGAGGAAGGAAATTCTGGATAAATTCATAAAGAAAAAGTAAACTTTAAACCTGTATTCTTAATACTGGAAGTTATTTGTGACCAGTTTTATATATTTACGAAGAAAAATTTTTGTACTAATCAGCTAAGCATTAAACTTTTTTTTTGATACGGTAATTGGTAATTGGGACGTAACCTAACGCCCTCAAGTGGTGAACCAAATCGAGACTATCATGTTTTGTTTTTTGACCTCGTGAATTGAAAAAACACTTGGCGAAACTAACTAAAAAATGGGGAATATCAGATGTACTTCTGTCAAAAAGAAACAAAGAAAAATCAAAAATATGTTATTAACAAACAAAGAAATCAGTTTGAAATTCGCCAAATTCTTGACTCATTCCAAACTATCTGAAAATGTACCAATCCATAAAAAAAATGTAAGAAAAAAGATATGTGGAAAAAATAGTTTCTTAAATAACCACTAGGAACTATGCATACTTATGAAATTATAACTATGAATACAAGTCAAATTGATAAAACATTAAAAAATTGCATACACTGAGTTCAAAACCCGAATATGCCTTATCTTAAAATAAAATAAAATAATACCTTGTTACGATTTTTCAAAATTTTCTTTACTACTTGTAGATATAATAACTGAAACCAGAACTTACTGGCCACCGAGAAACGTCCAGTATTTCTACGTTACTGACCATGTCATCAAAGGTTACACTGTGTTTATAAAGCCAGTCTGTAATAAGAAAATATATATTTGATAATTAAAACAATGAAAATAAACACCATGCACAGACGATTTTATTATAAGGTTAAGATTATACAGTTTCGACATTTCTTATGGTTGCTCTATACCTATTAGATGGTTGTAATCATTCGATTACATCAAGAAAATCCAACCAAAACAAGGAAATTGCTTTTTAGGCAAATTACACAAAGTCGATAAAAGTACTATGCTTTAGGATTGTAAAAAACTGTGTGTGTGTGTTATGAAGTTAGGTTTAAGGAACATCGGTTAGGATAAGAGAGGTAAGGAAGAAGCCGACTTTTGGCCAGTATGATCTAAGTCATTATAAAATTATTAGAGTGAGTAGCCACCATTCTAAGTTAAGCAGTATAGAAACAACAATACTCCATATGGTTGTGAAACGTTACAAACCGATGTACAACAAACAGGTGCAAGGTCAAGAAGAGATAGACCTGTTCGGCATAGGTTTGAGAAAGGAATGTAAAAGACAGGAGTTCCACGAAAAGGGTGAAGACCGGGAGATGTGTGAGAGAGAAGGTATAAATCGCTTTAAAGAAGCGAAGGAAGAAAGCAATATGCTGCCAATAACAAAACCTATTTCTAAATCTATGTGTTACTGATTATAGTAATAAACAGAAATTTGTTATGTTCACGTTAGTATGAGTCCATTCCTGTTAGGAAAGTACAATTTAAGTAAACATGATGAACTCAAGAGAGGGAAGCGAATTGTAAGAATGGCACGATTTTAACAAAGTGGTGTTGAGACGATCGTAACAGTGGGACATTTGAAAACCTGCTTTATTTCACCCCTCTATAACTAGAAAATTATATATCTTTATAGAAGTATATATATTCAAGTATTCTGTATTCAGTTAGTTGATGTGAAAGGTCTTAAATGTGTGCTAATCTTCTATCTTCCACAAAGGTTACATATAACACAGTGATCACTCTATAAAGACTTATAAGTGCTTAGGTGTTGCTGTATTATCGCTTCCCTGATGGGTGGTGACACAGATACTTGTACAATTTATAAGTAATCTATGATTTGGGCTATTGCACCAGGGACATAAAAGTGGGAAAGTTTTATTTAAAACTAAGCAATTTCTCTCGTGATAATAAAGACCAGCTTTCTCACTTGTTCGCTCGTGTTCGAGTCTGTCCATTTGTTTTCCGAATTCATTTTATTCTTTCCAAAAACATTCCCTGAACAAGCAACATATCATGGATACTTATAACTTACCTGTAACACACCAGGTGCCTGAATACTATAACAGTAAATAATAGCAATATAAAAGAACGTTTTTGTTTATATTTATTCTTTTTGTTTGCGATAGTGAGTTTATTTATTAATCTGAATCAAATAAAATTGCAGGTGAGTTCACTAAACGATTCAAGTCATTCGACTAATTTAATTTTTGAATAAATAGTTCATTGACCTGTATAAGTTTAGTATAATTACAGCGAGATTTTATTGATTCTTCACAACAAGTGTAGATTTAGTTGTTGGTGAAAACCTAGGTTGTTTAAACTAAATTAAAACGATTGTTTTTTATTTTTTACATGATGAAATGACTGGTCTTACGAAAATAAAAAGTTATCAGGTGTCTCCAGTGTATTTCACAACTTGACCTACTCCCATTAAGTTTTTCCTCCTTTTTTTATTTTTTACAGAAGACAACAAGGTTTAACTAAATGAGGTTAATAATGGTAACCGGAAGTTCACCCAATGCAGAAGACGGATCCACATTCCAGCCTGTAGAGGCTTTACTGTAAGATTCTAGTATGAACCATTTTCGCGTCAGGTTTACTTATTCATTTTAAGCTTTAGTGTTGTACTAACACTCAGTGTTGACAGTATCTGTCAAGACTGGCACTATTCTCAGCAGTCACGACCTTGACGATAGTTGGGTGATGCTGAACTATATTTCTCTCTCCTCTTCCCCTATCCATCCGACCCACCACGTGCAAAAACTGGTTCGGTCGAAATAATATTAAATGCTAACATAAAAACCTACTAATTAGATGTTCACGGCAACAATCGTAAAATATTAATGACAGTAAATAAATTACACTAAGTGTTTATATATGCTTCCACTGATGGTTGCGTTATGAATAATTTCATACAGTATTTTACTATTTTTAGAAATCGTGCATACGGAAATTCAAGTCTACATACCTTTGCTTATTAGGTGTTTAACTTTGAAATATTAATAATTGTATAACTCAAAATCTAAGTAACGCAAAATAATCGTTTATTGCCTAATAGAATTTGTTATGTTTTACAAATGTGCCTTTCAGCAATGAGGCTACTTTAAAGTACAATGAGAAATAAAGTCCCATACATTTATCTCAAGTGGGGGCGGGGGTAAGGAAAGTGGAATAATGCCAAGAATGTTTAATGATCTGAAAGCTAACATCCGGCGTAAAGTTGGAGAAATTCCCAAGAAAATGTTGATGAGTTTTCACCAATTTTCGCGAAAGATTGCACAAGCTATAAAGGATCCGGTAATACCGAATACTAAATTATAGCTACATTTTTGTACAGTTTTTGAACAAAATTTACGTTAATACTTTGTGCTCTTACAAAAAACAAAAAAGAGTAAAGCACTAATTACACAGGCCTGCGATGGTTTTATTGTCTTGAAATGTTTACATGTTCTACAGTAATTCCTGTACGCTGGATTCAAAAATTATATCCATTTTTCCCCATCACATACATATTTTTCACAATACGTAATATGTACTTTTGAATCATTTTCATTGAAATCAGGTCACATTTTTGTTATGCTTAAAATGTTAACAACCACTGTCTATAGATTTCTTTAGACCAATCGCGACGTGAGAGTCTTATCGATTGTTCTAGAACTCACAAGAAACACACCGCTAGTATATAAACGGATAACAGGCCGGATGACGTGTCAGTTCTGGATAGTATTTGTGCGTGCACTTTGACATTTCTTTTTTCTCTTAAATATTATTTAGTCATCACTATGGCAACAAAAGGTTGTGTAAATGACCCAAACATATTCTGTTATATTTGTGGTAACTTTGATCCAAGTAAGAGTTTTTT